GTTCCCATATTTATACAGCATCCACTGTCCAGCTCACTTTTCACCATCACGTGTGCTAACCAATCACCCGGTAAAGACCCAAAATTTCCTCAAAATTTACATCCAATCAGCCTTCTGTCCACGACAGGAAAACTATTTGAAAAAGTAATTTTGAAATTTCTCCATAAACATATTGAAGAATGAAGCCTGCTCAACGCACGTCAGTTTGGTTTTCGTGCACATCACAGCACGACATAGCAATGTATGAGGCTGGCGGACCATGTGACCCTTAATTTCAACAATAAAATGTCTACGGCTGCAGTGTTCTTGGACACTGAAAAAGCCTTTGATACCACGTGGCACTCAGGCTTGCTGTATAAGTTATCAAAATTGGAATTCTCTAACTGTTTGACCAAGCTTATTAGTCCTTTCTTTCTCAGCGTACATTCAGTCTCTCGGTCGAAGGCGAAATGTCAACGCCAAGGGAAATGCAAGCAGGGGTGCCACAAGGTTCTGTCCTTTCACCTACTCTTTTCAACTTGTATATAAATGATTCCCCCAAACTCATGGTGTTCACCTGGCCATCTTTGCGGATGACACCTGTCTATATGTGACAGATCGCAAGGAGGGTTTTATTGTTGGAAAACTCCAGCGCGGTCTCAGCTCAGTGGAGACCTGGTGTGAGCGCTGGAATATTAAAATTAATGAAGATAAGACTCAGAGGGTCTACTTCTCTCGTGGTCGTCGACCACCTCAGTCTTGTCTCACTCTAAATGGAAGAAATATTCCATTTGTAAATAGTGCAAAATATCTAGGTGTAATCTTCAATAAGAGAGTGACTTGGAGATTACACATAGAAATGATCGAAGCCAAGGCCTTCAGAACATTCATTAGAGTATATTCCCTTTTCAAAAGTGAGCGATTGAGCACTAACATTAAACTGACCCTCCATAAAGCTCTTATTAGATCTATAATGACTTATGCTAGTCCCTGCCTGTGAGTTTGCGGCAGACACTCATTTATTGAAATTGCAGCGCCTGCAAAACAAGGTTCTCCGCACCATTGGCAATTTTCCAAGGCGCACACCGGTCGGCGATTTGCACATGGCATTCAAAATCCCGTACGTATATGATTACATAACAAAATTATGCAGGCAACAAGCAGAAGTCATACAAAATGATGATAATGAGAATGTTCGCATTATTGGTCAAGGTGAAGCCCGACATAGACAGTATAAGTAGGTCAAACTTGGCGGCGGTCAGGCATACGACCGTTCAAGTGACTAGACTGCCGTGGTAGCAAATAATACTAGAAATAGGACATAATTTGCTGTACTAAGCCTGGATTGATAGAGGCCTTGTATATATTGTACAAGGTGTGGCAATAAAGAAACCGGATTCATGCTCTAACCCTTTATTAAAAAAAAATCAGACAGTCGAAATGTTATCCCCTTCAATGTAGTCCCCTCCCCGATCCCTACACCGCTCCATGCGAATTTTCCACTGTTGG